TACAAAGCACATTCAAGCAAAAAAAAGAGACATTTCAAACATCAGATAAAGTTGTCTATGGAGCAACTTGATTCAGCCCAATGTGCGACGTTTCTAAATGTTTTTTGAGTTGTCTGCTTTTATTATTACTAAAAATTTACCGACAAATACAATACGAGTATACTTGCAATGAATATTGTCTAATTAACATAATTCTTTAAAAAGTTATACTTACTGGAGTCGTCAAAATTTCTTTTACTGAAGTTATCATCCAACCAAAGACACCTGTAAAAAAATAATTCATTTAGATATTTTTTACACATAACTATAGTAATTGTCTATATGTTAATACTAGGTAAATTTAACATGAAAACTTGAGAATTTAAACAAACAGACTACCCGTTAATTCCAAAAGAATCAACGAAAGAACGAAAGAAATAAAACAAAAACGTAATACGGATTCAATAGGAAGCAAAAACCAATATATTTGCAGGGAATTGGATTTTTAATTAAAAGTAAGATCGTATGTACAGCGTAATCAGTTAATTTTGAAATTAACAACATTAATGAGGTAAATCGTTGCTGCTATCCAATTTAAAATCGAAAACCTAATTTTATTGCGGCTTTGCTGTAATCGTTCGGAAACCTTTTCATTTGTGGTATTCGTAAATCTTTACTGAGATAAATATTTGTTACAGTATGATAATATGGCATTCAAAAAATAAAAGACTGATTTTTATATAAGAATGAATAAAACACTTAGAATGTGTTATTTAGAGCTTTCGCACACATTTGACCAAACTATCGCACAATAGTACAGTCGCGCTGTGATTCCTATGAGCTTATAGAGGTACGCACACTATTCGATTTTTAGTTATGCAAATAAACTGTTGAATGGCCTGCGAAACAATCGACAATCGCACAACAAATGTGCGATAGTTTAGTCAAAGAGTATCGCCCGCTATTAACTATATGTATAAGACGAAACAGACATTTTTTTATGTAAATCTTTCTGTTCTTATGTTTAAAACATAATATACCAGGGTATCATAAATCGATAGCTCCACAATTCAGTCCCTATCAAAGTGTTACTTTAAGAAAAAAGGCTCGAGTACACTTAACATACAATACATCAGACAATGGGGCTGTAGTGACACGCTTTTAGCAAACCATACTCAAGCAAACTCCTTGATGTAACCACCCTGTCCCATAAAGACATTGTTCGCACTCAAGCGAACATTTTATAGATATTGAACCTTATTTTACCGTATATTTTAAAAAATTAAAGAAGACATTGTTTAGAAATATTTGACAAAAAAAATCATTAAAAGTAATCTAAATTAAATGAAAAAGGGGGGATAAAAAGCGAACCAATATTTAGAATTAAAATGACTCGCATTTATTACATTATATTTTAATTCTTTAGACAAAAAGATGAAATAAAGCGTGATATAAACTTTTATGTAAATTTCCATAGTATTAGTCTGATGTAACCCACGCCATATTGCGGAAAAATATGGAACTACTCGTACATTAGAAAGTGATGTAATAGAGAAGCCGATTGAAGCGTCCCCTATAATTTTTATTCTTGGTTAGCTTAATAACAAAAATACATAAAGGTATACGAGTAAAGAGAATAAAATGTAACATAGCAAATTTATTCCATTCCGTCGAGTAGAAGTTCCATTTTATATTATTATAATAAAACCTACCAAAGTGTGTGCGGAAATATAAAATGATACAAAGATGCAAACGTTACGAGCTTTCATTTTCAGGATTGCATTATTTTACATACAATGAATTCGCTTGCTGAATTCGCAAAACTACGACACGGGGATAAATGACTGAAAATTCTGAAACTGAGTTTGTGCAAATTAGTGTAAAAGTGTGTTGAAACATCGGAATGCAAGTATAAACTTTTATTTCTGATTATTCCAATAGTATAAACGTTCCATTTTTTTAATTTATTTTTGTATCTATATACATATATAATATTGGAGTGTCTGTAATATCAAAAGAAAAATTCCACATATCGGGAAGAAGATGTATTTGCGTTGCTAATAACGAAAATTGCATTTAAAAAAATTTTGTCTGTCCGTCCGCAAACCGTGTTTGTTCCGCGTAACCACCGAAACAGCTGGGCCGATTTCGATGTGACTTTCACTGAAGGGTAACTGATACAGACGGGTATATTATAGACTACTTTTTTTAATTCTGCGCTGTTTAAATGGAGTAACGGGTGGTCCAAATTTGCGCTAAACTAGTTTGCTGGCGACAGCTCGTACTATAATAAAAATATTCCATTTTTTATTTATTCAACTAAAACATATCAAACATTCGATTCGATCATATTCGATGTTTTGCCTCAGGCACGCTTAAAAAAAACTACGAATTAATTGAAGTCAAGTTTAAACGGATATTTATCACCAAGTTATAAGAAGACACTTAATACATCTAACTTAATATGACGTAGAATACCATGCACTAAGTAATTAACTTAGTCATTAATAACTAATATTCATTCTTCCGCCTTATATTTATGAGCACTTACTAGCTTGAGCTTTATTGCTTATTTTAACGAGGCTGTATACACCGCTGAATACGACATACTAAACGACCACGTACAGCAACACATTTACTTATTACTAACTTATTGTTAATAACATATTTAAAAAAAAATGAAACAAAATCTTACCAAACATTAAATTTTTATATAAAACGGTATAGAATTGTTCCAATTTCTATAACATCTATTGTGATTATATAACAGAAGGCGTTTCTTTCCAACAAACAGTACTTTTCATAAACCAGAAAGTGTTAAGATTGAATGTGGATGGCTACAAAGGAAGAGGAAGACCGAAGAAAGTATGGATGGATTGTGTGAAAGAGGATATGCTTAAGAAAGGAGTGAATTCAGATATGACGGCTGATAGAGATGTATGGAAGAGCAGCACATACTGTGCCGACCCTCCATAAGGGATAAGGGCAAGTGGATGATGATGATGTTACTTTCCAATCAATTAAATCTGAATTTAAAATCATATGTATGTTAAAACCATCTAAAACTAGCATAGTATTTATTTATCAAAAATAGTTCACTAAATTACAATCATAAAGTAACCTTTATACCAATACCTAGACAGGCTCGCTGTTGTCGAAATTTGAAAAATGTATTTTTTACCGAATCTTTTTAACGTATGTTGTGGCTGAGCTCCCGGCATCAAAAATGTACACCAAAGATATTGGAAGCTTTTGTGTCGGACTCGATGATAGATGGTAGAGGGCGTGTGATCGCTAACTTACACCGATATATCACACACCGCCGCAAATATTTTTATAATAACCCTCTCGCTGCTCTAGCTGCGGTTATGTTAAAATTCTATACACGTTTACTAAAGACGATACTGATTCGTTCCGAGTTTCCAATATAAAGTTTCATTTAAAGTTTTTAAATCTAGTGAGAATAAATACGTTGTAAATTTTGTTTCATCTGTCAGGAACAGAATGCACAGTGTTGGTCTAGAAAAATATATTGGATAAAAGTAGATTTTTGTAATATAAGGAAAGGGCAGTTTTCCTATAATACAAATCTCATTGATCAGATTCCTTTTAAAATGGTACAGATAAATATAGAACTAGTACATTTAAGATTCACCAGAATGTCTTCTAAAAGTTTTAATTTAAACGTTGTCCAAAATAGAAGAATGAATGACAACGGTATTTACTCATATAAGTATAGTTAATACTATAAAATTCAGTGTAATTAAAATTAACGTAACAATGAGGAATACGAAGCATGTTTAAACAAACATCATCAATAGTTTGCGACATACAAACATTAAATTGGTCAAAGGTACGATTTGTGTATTTTAGCTGTATTTGTAAACGTCTAAACAATAAATATACTGATTAAATCAATATGTAAGCCTTTAATAATTGTATAAATTCAATTTAATTTTCTTAAGCGTATTAGATGAACGTATTACAAAGTTTGCCATTATTAAAAAATCTTTACTTATGCAATATAATTGTACAACACAAAAAGTTATTGGTTTAAATATTCTATAAGAAATCGAAAATATATTTGAAAACCTGGTTACCATAACATTTACGGATTTATTGACTAAAATTTGAAACAAAAGTTAGTTAACTTTTTAAAATGCTTTCAAAGTTCAGTGATCATTTGGGAAACTTGTATTCTTGACACCGTGGCTCTAAAAAACGGGTGCTCTTTCCAAACTACTGGCGTAGGTTTTTGAGCCAGGACGTCCCTCGACCTACACTCCGCTTTCCGTGAATCAAATAACCAGTTTACAATTAATTAATCTAAATAAAACACATAAAATGCCGTGTATAAAGTACTATACTATATTATGAACGTAATAAAACAAACGGCAAACAAAAATGAAATTTGCATCCCATTCGAGCAACGTTTACACAATGTAGAGCTGCATTTACTCGACGTACGTTGTGTTAGCGTATTTACTCAACGCGCGTTGTATCGAGCCACGCGTCACATTTCGACGCGTATGTTCCAAGCAACCTTATCTATGTTTATCCGTAAATAGCAGCTGAATTAACCGTATTATCGAGCCATTATGATCCGAGCGAGGATATGTATTTTCCAAAACTATACAAACTAGCGTAACACACACAGAAAAATGAATTGCAATCATAATCATACTAATATTATAAATGCGAAAGTTTTGATGGATGGATGGATGTTTGTTAGAGTTTGTAGCCTAAACAGCTAAACGGATTTCGATGAAATTTGGTATGGATGCAGAGGATAGTCTGGAAGAACACAAAAACTACTCGCTTTTGTTTTTTTTAATCCCACGCGAACGGAGTCGCGGGCGAAAGCTAGTAATATTATAAATGCGAAAGTTTAGATGGATGGATGGAGGTTTATAAGAGTTTGTAGCATAAACGAGCGAATTTTGATAAAACTTGGTATAGATGTAGAGGATAATCTGGAAGAACATATAGGCTATTTACTTTTGTTTTTGTTAATAACATGCAGACAGAGTCACGGGCGAAAGCTTGTAATGCACATAAACAGGAAAACGTATAGTGAATGTTTGTATTTTAAATGATTAATCGTTTTCGGAGCATCGATTTTCACTTACATATTCAATTTGCAATAAATTCAAACAGCAACTTGTTTTCGCGACAGTACGAATGGGGATTTCGTTCCAATTGATATTAATTCCGATAAACTCAATATGGAATTTACTATTTTGGTTGCTTTGTATTGTGATAAGAACAGTATTTAATTTCGATCGAGATTGTAATTACATAAAAAAAAAATTGTTCAATAAGACTAATTTTGCTAGTCAACGATTTCAACTTTTTTGAAAATACTAAATGCCGCACTCACAGTCTTTAAATATTTGAGAAATGTCTCCCTTAGTGACCAATAGTTAAGAGCAAGGATATCCAATCACGTCGTCGAGGATTTGAATCCCGCTATTGACTATTGTTATACAAAAAATCCAAGCTTTGCGCTTAGTTGGAATGGTACAAAAGTGTTAATAAATTAACAAAAATATGCTATCATTTAAAAAATTAAGCAGCAGATACTAGCCTCTGAATTATGCATGTCTAAAAAGTTGACAGGCGAGGAACTACATGAAAACACCAATGTAACCATTGCTTTTCCAAACAATGTAATGAAAATGTTACAAATAGTCGAATGTAATTTTCATAAAGAATTCACTGTATATTTCATATCAAATGAAATTCCTCATAAACTGTCAAGAATCCATCAACGAATACAGACGTAGGATAATCCTATAAATATGAAACGCATTATGTATAGTGTGATACCATTTTATACCTTATTGCTTACACAATATAGGTTATTATCTAATGCGGCGTATTAATGTAAGGTGTGATGGCCTGGTGTAGACATATTCGTTTACCGTTAACGCTTTTCCCAAATTGTTTTTACACGTCTTGTAAATGGATATCTTTGTGTTGGAATATCTTGATAAAATAACTCTTTAAGACATATATATTACAAATAAGAGTGATTGACTTGATCTTATCTTGTAGTCTATGTAATCATCTACGGCGTAGACCTTTTGTAGACGTTATTGTAGAATGAAGTGTTGTCCATAGTTAAGTTTTCCTTCCGAATTAACTACAAAATGTTCAAATCTTTTGTTGTTATGTAAACACATAATAAAACTCCGATCGATTGATTACGCACATTCGAAATGTCTACAAACTTTCAGGAACGCAAAACCATTACGCTGCGACAAAAACAGAACATCGGCTTCCGGGCATTTATCTCCCACGAAGAGGTATAAAGGGCATAAATAAAGCAAAACCTATAAGGCTTTAAAGCAACAATGAAAAATACGAACCGTTTTACGTGGAGTGGAGAGTGGGGGCTGGGCAACGTGGCGGTCGCGGGGGGCGCCCCCTGCCGGGAACAATGCCGCCCCGCCGGGAGCACTGCTGCAGAAACAAAAAAAACACATGAACAACCGCTCCAATTATTGACGTGGGCATGAGATGAGAACCTCGAGTTACACGCCTGTGTGTGCATCCTTTTAACTACGTACTACCCGCACTGTGTCGACTTTTTGCACCAGCAAATTGAAACTAACACGATTCTTTTTTTTTCGCCCCCGCTTACTCTTTTTGTTTTGCGCCAGTACTTGTTCGTTGTCATTGTGTGTCGCAAAAAACTAAACAGTCGCGTAGAGATAAAAATGTTAAGGCATTCTCCCTTTTCTGCTTCAGTTATGAACATTCCTGACTAAAGTTGAAATATGTTAGAGTGCTCTATGTGTCCAAATAGTTTTTGCAATATATGCACGTCTATTCACTATCAAAGTATAACTTGAATAGTATGGTGCGAACGACGAAGCTGGAAATTATGGTATTTCATTTTTAGCTGCAATAGTATGAGAACATGAACGATTGTTGAATTTACTTTCCGATTTCATTTATAACTCTTTAACCAAATTGTTGACATCAAAAGGAACTTCTGAAAGTATTTTCTAACATCTATACGATTTATTCACTATTGTTTGTCATTCCAAAAGATAATATTTCATAAAGTCAGCATTGTCATTTTAACAACTTTACATTTGATAATTTTTTAATAAGTTTTTAACTTTGGAAGATTGATAAGTTTGTAGTCTCTACGGGAGCTCGTCACTGCGAGATGTAAAGATTTACGCAGATTGGCGGTAGATTGATGGATTGAAGCGGCTTTGTATTGCTTTGTAAACGTGATATAAAGACAATATTCAATAGCTACACAAACGCTAACTATAGATTGCTTCTAATTTATGTGCTATAAATATGAATATATCATTACTTGTTAAGTTTCATTTATCCTCTGGTGCATTGATAATACTTTTACTAGCTTAGTCTTGCGCTGGTATTTTAACAAATGGTAAGATCAGAGTAAGTTAGTGGCAATAAAAGTTTGTGTCAAAGATTACGTATCATCATCATCTCCCCCTGCCTTATCCAACTCCCGTAGGCGTGGCGCACCGGGTTCTCCTCGCGTCCTCCAAATAACTCTATCCTCTGTCATCTCAGTCATCACTCCCTTCATGATCATGTCATTTTACGCAATCCATCCATCTCTTTCTAGGTCTACCTCTACCGATGTACCCCTCCATATTCATAACTAACGTCCGTCTTGTTACATGCGATTCATCCTTTCTCATAACATGCTCATACCACTCTAACCTTTTACTCATTATTTTCTCAACCACTGGGGCTACTCTCAAACTTCATCTAATATACTAATTTCATAATGTAATAAAAGAATTTTTGCATTAAGCAATAAACTCAGTAACATACAAATATGCGAGGTTCGATCAAACAAGTCTATATTGGCTTTTGTTAATATGCATTCCAGCAGCGCTTGTACGCAGAATATTCCGGATGCAAATCCACACACAAGTGATGTATAACGCCGTACTGACTTTCTACGGAATACAATCTCGTAATTAACTATTTCATTAACGCCGATTATCGGAAATCGAAATATGTTAGCACTATTGAGTAATTGGGACGAATTAATAAAATGTTAATAGGTCAATCGAGTATTTTAGGCGCTGGACCACAACTGACATTCATTCCACTAATGCTTGAAGCATTTAACAAAAGAGTTCGTACTGCACCAAATGTCAAAGAATATGGAGTATGATGTACAAATGTATCTTACATTACCTACAGGCATTTTATCATCGATTCTTTGATAACTACCGGAAATAATTTAATAAAAAATGCTTAAAAGGGATACCGACGTAAGCCATAGACAGCAGCACTTTGCAGTACTCATTTGTATGAAACCAATTCCGATACACAACTGCAACTTTTTGAATTTGGAATTACCGCGCAGTAGAGTTTCGAATACTTAGACTGCTCATGACAGAGTACTGGTACCATTGTTAAAAGAAAAAAACCCTTAAATATCAGGAATCTCTAGGATTTTACTGATTCATTTCGTACATTGTACAAAGCACGTACAATTCAAAGCAGGATGCAGACATTCGTAAAAATAGAGAAATCTGTGCACAGTTCATTACGTAGGGGAATTTCTTTTCGAGCTTATCGTTCGTATCTCCGCTTGACTCGCAATAAATCCGTATTGGATGCGAAAATCCTCTATACAGAGGCACGTAAGGATACCAATGAAATCCCTTTGCATTGAATTCTGACTTTAATTACAGAACACCGGGTTTTTTTCGATAAGAATCTGATCAAATGAATAGAAAGAACTAAAGATATGATTCTATTAATGTTAGATTATGGTAAATTAAAATGCTGAGGTACTCATTTTATGAACGTAAGGAAATTAATAAAAATGTATAATAAAAAGAACTGATAACAAAAAAACAGTAACATACGCATCGTCGCTTTTACGTACTTCTTCAGAATCCATTCTCAAAGCGAGTCTACAAATATAAATTGAAAACCTCTTATTCAGTGCAACTAATCTATACAATAGTAAAATAATAATAAAGCGTAAACACACACTTCTTTGTTGTCTAAGATGTCAGCAATTACAGCATATTTTTAAACAATAATTTTTTTTAATAAAAATGCCTACATTAGTGTCACGCTTTAGGCTACATATTTTGAGGACATTAAACTTAGGGGGTAAATATTTTGGATAAAAACCCTAATGTGGGAAAGAGACTATAAGTTGCTGCCAACATCAAGGAAGCAAAGTTGTCATCATGTGATGTCATTTTGACATTTGTAATTTGACAAATGTAAACAATAAAATAATATTTTGATAATTCCATACGGATGAAATCGCACGGGAACAGCTAGTTTCTTATAAAATTGTGTTATTTAAATATTTGCTTATGTAAAATTTTTTGATCAATACAAATATGTATTTCGTCCCCCATGTCAACGTGTTTACAGTCGCAAAGAGTTCGTTGAGAGCGTCCTTTTTCTATTTTCCATATAGTAATGGACGAATACAGAAATCGATTTCCGGCCTCAAGTTATGTCAAAGTTTTCTCGTTTAAGGAATGTATTTTACGACATATTCATCGTTCCTTTGCTTACTTTTTTTGTAGTGACATTGTTTTTCTTTGAGGTTGCAAGTTAATTGCTGGTAAGGTTTTCTTGGCTATTAGGCCATTTAACGCGACAACTATATTTCAACATGCTAATTATCTTGTAGTATAACATATCCCGGTATCTGAATCTATACTTATCTGTACTTAATATTATAAAGAGGAAAAATTTGGATTTTTGGATTTTTGTATGTTTTCGATTCACGTAAAAACTATAGGGCCGATGTCAAAAATTCTTTTACCATTATCAAAGTAATCTGTTAGTAACATAGGATACATATATTTTTTTAATTTCGCGCGTTTGACGTCGCGGGCAACATCTAGTACTTTATATTTCTGTGTTTTTTTACTACCATACATCCGCACACGTATATTAACAATGCCCTGCCAATTCTTGTACCACTGTTGTTTTAAAAACATTGTTGTGTCGAATATATGCATATAAATATGTACAAATATGTATTCCACATGAGCGGGGACAACGAGCGAAAAAACGAACGACGAAATCCATTGGAAATCGGAGTGAGGGTGGCGAGTGGGCCGGGGGTGCGAGCCGCAGCCGGCAGGGGGCGCTACATCCGCCGGATATACAGTCTGCCCGGGATGCGGTACCTCCTCAACATATTTCTTACTCATGTGTGAAAGTGACTTTAGTTGTATGGGACGTACAGTAACACAAAATTACTGGCGATTTTCTCTGCATTCACAAATGAAGATTTATTTAGCATTTAAATAAGAATATCTTTGCAATAAGAATGTCTTTATTGCTCACTAATGTTAATTACATAAATCAGTGTTGCCTTGACGACTTAACTAGGATTCCTGTTTTTAAGTAGCCAAGGACTTTCCTTATAAAGTGATACATTTTTGGTGAGAGACAAAATGAAAATTAACCATTATATATTAATTTTAACAAACAATATTGATGAGAAATTATTTTATGATTACATGACTGTTATTTTTTTAAAGCAGTTACGTAGTAATTAGTTTATAGGGGGTTTAGGTTAACACTTTTAGTGCCACTAAACTGTCTTATGTACACTTTGATACGTGGGAATAGTAGCATTTTACGTGTTAAAACACACAGTAAAATCTGGGTAAACATTTTCAGCATACACCGATAACGCGTAAACACTAGGTCGTCCTATATTCCGATAAAAGCGATCGTTGAACAAGCTCGTGAACTTTTTACCCTCGCTCGCAAACATTGTAAAGTTTAATTTCTTTATTTTCAGCGATAATTGGCGTAATGCAGAACAATTGCACCGGCGGGAACGAGAAAACGGAACAAGTGCCACTTCGCTTATTGTCTTGAATCGAGGTTAGCGTTATACCTTTTATTTTCTTAACAACTTTGATAAAAAAATCAAGTTTCTATTCAGTAAAAGAAAATAACAAAAATGTTACGAGTAATAAAGGTACAAAATTCTTAATCAAGATTTATGCGCAGAGTCGATTTTTATATTAGTTATATCAGATACTTTCTAGTCACCTAATTCAGACATGCCACATGGACATTTCATACGGAAGTAGCATATTTATGCCGTCAAAATTTCAAGACAAATGAAGCTAATACGAAAACATATTTGTTGAATATAACAGTGTTAACAATGTTCATGCTTTATTTCATGTTGACCAAATCCGAAATACACAAGAAAGCCCCTACTACATGTCTCGAAAATGTCCATTGTGTGTTTTCACATAATTTAAAGGATGACTGACGTTTTTGTACAAAAGTTTGTACAAAGTAACAAGTGCGTTTTGGACAAATTTGTTTCAACGGTGGAAATCCGTAAATCTGTCGTGCACACGTTTGATATTGATTTGAAACCTTTACCCGAGTGTTTTGTAATCTATGAGCCAAATAAATGAGACTGCACGTCGGTAAATCAACCGAGC